GTTACATCACATTCTTCAAGAGAATATCCTATTGACAGTTTATGGTAATTCTAACCATTAGGAATTATCCAATGAGTCAGTTCAATGATCATATCTCTATATGCATCATCTATCTATGTAATTTAGTTAATGAGATCAACTAATCTTTATCCCATAAAGACGATCACATAAATATTGATCTAACCGAATTACTAATGTCCAAATTAATAATCCTACGATCAAGAACAAATTTAGATTAAATTATAAGAAACTTTACTCTCATTATCTTGATCAACATCACAATGTCAAGTCTCAAAATTTAATCAAGGACCCTATCAAATTAATCAAGCAATTAATAACAATGATAAAAGAATATCAAATGCCATATATATTTTATATCAAATAATGTTCATAAAATTATGTTCAAATCATCAAATATGATATTGGATCTAGGGCATATCTACTATATCCCTAACAGTTGGTCATTTTATTCATTTCATGTCGTCTCAATCATACTTTAACTCTTTTCGATTACAAGGTAATATATTCTATCCAAAATTAGTTATGTAGCTATGCATATAATAGAACTATCTTTAGTTGAGATTTTTTGCTTTATGGTATATGCCAATACAATTTAACTTACATACCTTGTACGCATATGATTCATCAATGATAAACATATAGCTAAAATTATAATTTTTTCCTTTTTTAAGCATCGGTCATTAAAAAAATACTCACGCAACAGAAAAGCTGCCTTAATGGTGGATAGAAATCATGAAAATGACCAGACCTTTGGAAAAACACGCGATGACAAAAGGGCTAGGAGACGCGAATTATATAGACTTATGCCACCTAATAAAAAAGAGGCCTTTTTGGCACGACGACGTGCAAACAGAGCTGAATTGAAAAGACGATGGCTTACTGAAAGTTCAATTAGTGTTGATGCTGCTAATGCATCATCCTCTAATGCTGCCAATGTTCCTGCCACCCAGAGGTCTCTTAATATAAAAGACTCATTGCCTTTTTCAAGAAGAAGAACATGTAAGATTAAAATTCAAAAATTGTTTAAACTACATCTATTAAGAACAATAGTAATTACTTCTTTTCTAGGTTAATAATATCCTCATAACTAGAGTTCTCATATGCAGGGTATGTTTTCACAGAACCTGGTTGTTCGAGTAGTATGCAAGCAGAAAATACGTATGTCAAATTAAAGGATGTACCGAAATGCCAATTTTGTGGAGCAAAAAAGTTTGAATATGAACAGCCTGCATTTTGTTGTGGCAACGGTTCTATTCAATTAATATCCCATGAAATGCCAATAGAGTTAAGAAACCTTTATCTAGGAAATAGTGAGGAATCAAAACATTTTCGAACTTACATTAGAACATACAATAACATATTTGCGTTCACATCCCTTGGAGTAACATATGACAAAGAGCTAGCAAAGAGAAATAATGGTATTTATACATTCCGTGTTCAAGGGCAGATGTATTTATAAATGACTTGATACCAACTGATCAAAAAGGAAAAAACCTTCAGTTATACTTCTTTGATAGTGAAAATGAAGTAAGAAACCGAATGGCATGTTCAAACAAACTGAATGAAGATATTGTAAAGAGTTTGATGGATATATTAAAAATTAATCCATACTCAATATTTTTGAAATCCTTAATAAATATTTCACAATTATCTGATTTTTACATTGCGCTTAAAAGTGATGCTGGTTTAGATCAACAAGTATATAATTTACCAACTGTATCAGAAGTTGTGGGTATATGGGTTCAACATGATATCAATAACTATATTCCTTCACCACATATTCGTATATATACAAAAAGTGATAGAAGTCAATTGGTAAATTATTATTATGGCTGTTACGATCCATTACAGTATCCATTGTTGTTCCCTTACAGTCAAAATGGATGCCATTGTGGTATTAAAAAAATTAAACATACTACTGATAAATCAATAACGCGAATATACTATGAACATGAACAATTACCGAGTGTAATGAATATGTGCTCAATTAATGGATTGCTCGATATGGAAGCTGAAGTTATGCAAAAAGGAAAACAAAAAAGAGACACAATTTCTTGTCGTGAATATTACTGTTACAAACTTCAAATAAGAGATGATGAAAATATACTTTTACATGCTGGCAGATTATTTCAGCAATATACTGTGGATGAATGGATAAAAATTGAAAGCCAAAGATTAGACTTTGCTTCTTTAAATCAGGATTTATTCAGAGTCGATGTATTAGGTGGGCTCTTAGATGTCCTACGCCGTGGGGAAAGAGACGCTTCACAGGTTGGAAAAAAAAATACTCCCACTTAGATTTACGGGAGGCCCAAGAGATATGCGCCGAAGGTATATGGATGCTATTGCATTAGAGCAACGCTTTGGAAAACCTGATATATTTTTTACTATGACCTGTAATCCTTCTTGGCCTGAAATAAAAGAAAACCTCCTGTCAATAGATGAAACACAAAATAGACCGGATTTAATAAGTGGAGTATTTCTAGCAAAATTAGAAGAGTTGAAAAAGGATATTGTCAAAACACAAATATTTGGCAAAGTCGCAACATTTATGTATACAGTGGAATTTCAAAAACGGGGACTTCCACATGCTCATTTTCTTATAATCCTTGATGAAAAATATAAGTTACTAACTCCTGAAGCATATGACCATTTTGTATATGCTGAAATACCCGATGAAAAAGAAAATCCTACTCTATACTCACTTGTTATAGATCACATGATGCACGGTCCATGTGGAGAATTAAATCCAACAAATTCTTTTATGAAGAAAAAAACAGGTCAATGTAAATTTAAGTATCCTAAAGAGTTTGCAGAACAAACAACTAAAGGAAAAAATTCGTATCCAATTTATAGAAGGCGAAACACAGGAAAGAAAGTGAAAATTAGAGGACACCTTCTTGATAATGCATGGGTTGTTCCTTATAATCCATATTTACTTTATAAATTCAATTGTCATATAAATATTGAGATTTGTTCTGATATTAAAGTTGTCAAGTACATCTATAAGTATATTTGCAAAGGACATGATAAAATTGCATTTCATATATATGCTAATGATACAAATGTAGAAATAGATGAAATAAAGGAATACCAATCTGCTAGGTGGGTTTCACCGCTTGAGGCTACATGGCGTATATTTGCTTTCCCTATTAGTGAAATGTTTTCAAATGTATATCATCTTCAGCTACATCTTGATGGACAATAACTTGTTTCCTTCAAGAGTACAGACAATATTAGTAAAATTGTGAACAATCCTATGATTAAGAAAACAATGTTAACTGAGTTCTTTTTAATGAATAGAGGAAACAAAGATGCTAAGAACCTGAATTTATTATATCGAGAATTTTCCGAATACTTTGTATGGTCATCAACAGATAAAACATGGACACGCCGTCAACGAGGAAATGCTATTGGTCGCATTGTGACATGTCATCCAACCGAAGAAGAAAGATACTATCTTAGACTACTTCTAATGAATGTAAGAGGACCAAAATCATATGAAGATTTGCGAACAGTAAATGGACTATGTTGTACCACATTTAGAGAAGCTGCAGAAAGAAGAGGATTACTATTTTGTGATAATAATTTGGTAGAATGCATGTCTGAAGCTGTAAGTTACCAAATGCTATCCAATTTAAGACAATTATATGCTATGTTATTGATCTATTGTAATCCAACTAATCCAAGAGAATTATGGGAAAAATTTGAAACCCCAATGTCTGAAGATTTCAAAAGAAATCTGAATATAGATGCAAGGGAAATTCCTTACAAAGTGTTAAACCATATTAATAATATTCTTCATTCAATGGGGCGTAATATTAATGAATTTGAACTAATTTTAGAAGTGATAAAGCCATATGCAATAGCGAAAGAAGCTAAATATGTTGATTTCGAGAGAAATATCATTGTTAGTGATGAAGATTTACTGTTGAAAAACAAATTAAATATTGAACAAAGAAGAGCTTACAATATGATTCTCGATAGAATATTTTCAAATAGACCAGGGGCATTCTTTATTGACGGTCCCGGTGGGACTGGTAAAAGTTTTTTATATCATGCTTTATTAGCTACTGTGAGACACAAAGGATTCATAGCTTTAGCAACTGCAAGTTCCGGTATTGCAGCTTCACTTCTTCCTGGAGGTCGAACTGCTCATTCTCGCTTTAAAATTCCTATTGATGTCAATGAGAACTTCAGCTACATTATTAGTAAACAAAGCTCATTAGCGTCTTTAATACGAGATGCAAAACTAATTGTATGGGATAAAATTTCAATGGCCAAAAAGCAAACAGTGGAAGCATTTGATTTGCTTTTAAGAGATCTAATGGAAACAAATATACTATTTGGAGGAAAGGTAGTTGTCTTTAGTGGTGATTTTAGACAAACTCTTCCCGTAGTTCGTAGTGGCAAAAAGGAAGATTTTATTTGTGAAAGTTTATTGTGCTCTGAAATTTGGAATCAACTTGAAAAATTACAACTATCTGAGAATATACGTGCTAAAACAGATCCTGCCTTTTGTGAATATTTAATGAGAATTGGTGATGGAAAAGAACAGCAAAATGACTGTGGAAAAATTGAAATTCCTCATTCCCTCATTATTCCTTATACTTCTGAAAAAGAATCCTTGAATTTGCTCTTCCGAGTTACTTATCCTCATTTATACAAATGTCATTCAAATGCTTCCTTTATTACTTCTCGTGCTATTCTAACAACCAAAAATGATTTTGTTGATGAAATAAATGACATGCTGCTTGCTCAATTTCCAACTACTGAAAAAGTTTACATTGCTACTGATGAGACAACTGATCCAAAAGATCAGAGTGAGTACGAAGATTTTTTGCACATTTTAAATCCTGCAGGTCTACCTCCTTATAAATTATCTTTGAAGAAAAATTGCCCCAATATGTTATTAAGAAATCTAAATCCCAGTGAAAGTTTATGCAATGGAACACGGTTAATTTGTAATGATTTTAAAACCCATGTTATCAGTGCAATAATATCTAGCGGCGATTTTAAAAATAAACATGTATTTATTCCGCGAATACCACTCATGACATCAGAAGATGAGAAATTACCTCTCCCTTTTAAACGAACGCAATTTCCAATATGATTATGTTTCTCCATGACAATAAATAAAGCACAAGGTCAAGCATTAGATTTTGTGGGTATCTATTTGCGCGAACTTGTCTTTTCGCATGATCAATTGTATGTTGCTTTATCGAGAGCAAAAAGTTCTAATTGTGTGAAAGTATTAATTAGACCACCTACTGCTGACGACGATGATGATCACTCTACATATAATATAGTCTATGATGAAATTATTAAAAAAGCTTTTTCCTGACCTCTTGCTATAATTTCTTATGGTAAATCTAATTATAACTTGATTTTCTGTATTCTTTCATTTTATATTAAACTCATTCTATATTTATTGTAAATGTATGCTCTTTTACTAATATTAGCATGTTGCAATTGCAGATTAATTCCAATATGGGTGAAAGGTTAACTATCAATGCAATCACTCCCAAAACGGAAGAATGGACCTATAAGATCCAAGTAGTTGATAAAGGTCGTCCCAAAGACAACAAAGAGAAAATCAAAAAATATCAACTCATGACATTACAGGATGAAGAGGTATTCTTTATTAAATTTATAATTCTCCCAACAATAACCAAATTAAATCATCGTTAGCTCATATATGAGAGCTCTCTAATATTTAAATTTTGTTTGCTCTGGTGCTATAATTTCTGCCAATTTATTTGAATATAATAATATTAATTGTATCTTATTTTCTTACAGGAAAATCAAGTCCAAGCAATCAAGTTCAATGCTGATATAACACATTTTGAAGATTTATTTGATCCTTTCCATACTTACTTGGTGTCAGTTGCACAAGTGAAGGAGTCATCTTATTTGTATGGAAATCCAATTAACAAATTCACTTGGACAATTGATAGAAGCCCCATTGTCGAGCCAATTGAAAAGGTCACTCCTCCATAGGATCCATTACCGCCGCCAACGCGGCTAACTCTTACCGCATTTGACACCTTTGAGGATCAAGCCAAAGAATCTGAATTTGGTATTTAAAGATTTTGTCACGACCCAATTCCCGAACTGGTCGTGATGGCGCCTCTCATGAAGACAAGGCCAGTCATTCAACCCAATTCATCCTTTTAAGACAATTAATTAACACAATTATAGTATAAACATGATGTAATAATGTCCAATAGCGGAAAGTATAGATAAAATACGGAAATCCAACCCAACTCAGCCCTGACCGGGGTGTCACAAGTCATGAGCTACTACATAGTTTACTAAAATTCTACAAAGCATGGAATTAGGAACAAAGTCTGAAGATATCATAAATAACAGAAGATAAGGGAGAAAACGGGTCTGCGAACGCCATGCAGCTACCTCGATAACTCCGATGAAAACTGAACAGCAGAAAACTCGCTCTATGCCTCAAGAATACCTGTACCTACACACATGGTGCAGGGAGTAATGTGAGTACTCCGACCCAGTGAGTAATAAATATAAATAATGACTGAAGGTAAGAAAACACGTTAAGGCACACAACATTCTATACAGAAGCAGTGAAATCATTTAAAATAACAATTCAGTGAAACATCATGTGAAATTTCTTTTAAACCAGTAAAACAGGTAATTTGGCAGTAAAATGACGAGTAGAAATCTGCCCCTCGGGCTCAATATCAAAATAACAAGTAGAAATCTGCCCCTCGGGCTCAATATCAAAATAATAATTAGAAATCTGCCCCTCGAGCTCAGTATCAAAATAATAAGTAGAATCTGCCCCTCAGGCTCAGTATCAAAATAATAATTAGAAAACTGCCCCTCGGGCTCAGTATCAAAATAATAAGTAGAAATCTTCCCCTCGGGCTCAGTATCTCAGAACAGTATCAGCCCTTTAGGCTCAGAACAGTATAAAGCAACCTGTCAATAAAATAAGAGCACATAATTATTATGGCAGATAATGCAGATAAAGAATAAATACATGAGTGCAATGCAATGCATATGACGGTACCCTCTAGTACCCACTACGGCGTGCAGCCCGAGCCATCCATATTTATTTATCGTCGACGGCGCTCACTGGGGGTGTGTACAGACTACGAAGGGGCTCCTACAGCCCAAGCACAATATAAAGCCATCCCGTGGCATCAAATCTAGGCCCTCGGCCTCATATCAATCTCAGTATAATCACCCAGGCTCTCAGCCTCAATATCAATGTAATCAACCAGGTTCTCGTCCTCAATATCAATGTAATCAACCAGACTCTCGGCCTCAATATCAATATAACACTGTTGCGGCGCGCAGCCCGATCCATGCTCAGTCCAGAAATCATCATAATCCCCTTGAGCATTTGTAAAACAGTAGTTCTCAGCCCGAAATATCATTTAGAAATATTATTTAAGTTTTCAAATCTTAGAAAGATGGCTGAGTTTGCAAAACACTATTTAAAACCTTGGAATGAGGTCAAATGATATGCAAAATATGCGAAAGCAATGATATCAATCCCTGAAGGATTCAAATAATTGGAAACATGACTGAGGATATAAAGTCTTTAACAAAATAAGTGAGGAAAACCAATCAAAAATCCCCTAAGGGTTCTACAGGTCGGCACAAGGCCCCAAGCATGGCAACAAGCCCAATTCACAATAATAAAGTATATGTCTCAACCAAAAATGTAGTAAAATATCTCTCGGGACGGACCAAGTCACAATCCCCAACGGTGCTCTACCCCACGCCCGTTATCCAGCGTGCAAGTCACCTCAATATAGCGTTACGATGTGAAATTCCAGGGTTTCAAACCCTCAGGACATCATTTACATCTATTACTCACCTCTAGGCGGCCAAATACTACTCCGCGATGCCCTTTCCTTTCGTATCGACCTCCTCACGTGTCGAATCTGGCCAAAACCACAACGAATACATCACAATAGGCTAAGGGAATATAACTCAATCGAAAAGACTCGAAAAATATCAAAAATCACGATTTTGCAAAACCCAAGCCCCGGGCCCACATCTTGAAATCCAGAAATTTTTATATCAAAATGTTCCATATCTCACCACGAGTCTATACATACCAAATTCACAAGAATCGGAGTCCATTTGACCCCTCAAA